CTTGCCCGGGGGTCATGATTTGAACAAACTTGAATCTACACTACCTGAGGATGATTTCACATGAGTTTCATCTTTCCTGGCTCAGTGGTTCTTAAGAAGAAGATTTTTAAAGATTTTTCCTATATATTCCTATGTAAAACGTAGGTTGGCCATTTTTGCCCCACCCATGCCCCAGGGGTCATGATTTGAACAAACTTGAATCTACACTACCTGAGGATGATTCCACATGAGTTTCATCTTTCCTGGCCCAGTGGTTCTGGAGAAGAAGATTTTTAAAGATTTTTCCTATATATTCCTATGTAAAACTTGGGTCGGCCATTTTGGCCCCACCCTTGCCCGGGGGGGGGGGGGGTCATGATTTGAACAAATTTGAATCTACACTACCTGAGGATGCTTCCACAGGAGTTTCATCTTTCCTGGCCCAGCGGTTCTGGAGAAGAAGATTTTTTTTAAAAATGCCATTAGTTTTTAACAAATTCATGATTATCTCCCCTTGGAAAAGGGCGTGGCCCTTTATTTGAACAAACTTGAATCCCCTTCACCCAAGGATACTTTGTGCCAAGTTTGGTTGAAATTGGCCCAGTGGTTCTTTAGAAGAAGATGAAAATGTGACAAGTTTACGACAACAACGACGACAGACAACTGAAAAATTTTGATCAGAAAAGCTCACTTGAGCCTTCGGTTCAGGTGAGCTAAAGAACATTTAAACATATTTAAGCTGCGCATTCTGTAATACATTAAGAGGAAAATTGAAAATTAAACTAACCCGAGTTTTAAATTTGATTTGAATTAATTAAAATCACTGATAAGTATCCATAAATTACAGGTGTACATATCAAGTGTCAAAGGTAATATAGATTTATCTCTCATTTCCTCTTCTTCTGTATGCCAAAGATATTTGAAGGTAGCTTAGACTATACTACTTCTAATTGTCACCTTACTTAGAAATATAATGCAACCGTTTTTTTTTTTTTTTTTTTGGTAGCGCAATATTGCCCCCTTGAGCCAGGAATTGAACAAAAATGAGTTTATATTACCTGAAGATGATAAAAACTAATCATTTTAAATATATTAAATAAAAACTTTTTTCACATATATTATTGAATTTTATTTCACAGTAATTGAATCCAAATGAAAAGGTGGTATGCAGATTAATGTGACTGATCATGCATAGCCAAAGTGGTTTTATGGGGAAATTATCAAAGATATTTTTATACCAATTCCCTGTAAAACTTTGATCCAAAAATTTGACCAAATCCAAAGGGTCATGGTTTAAAGCCCGAGATAATAAGCACCGCCTTCAGATTTACCTGGTCTGTATACCCCTGTCAATCAAATAAATCACGGTCCATTATTGGGTACTTGATATTGATTGACAGTTACCTACTAGTCCGTGTGTATATCTCTTTCACCTTGTTTGACACGCGTGGCCACCATCAAATTAACTTTTGGTCTTCTGATGTTACCGCTAAATTACCATCGCAATAAGGAAGCCATTTCGATACCAACGATTTCAGCTTGATCATAATTAATTAATTATCTGTATTGCAAACATGTCATTTAAAATAAATTTTATATCATTCAATGTTTTCCAAAAAAAAATAAATCAAGATTGCTTATATATTTTCATTACTAATGAAAATTGAAATGTATATGAAATATTGTTTTTACTCGTAAATGATTCTTGTTTTGAGACCCGGCGAAAAATTAAATTGAAAATAAAGGAGAAAATAAGCTGGAATTTATAAACACTTTTTGTCTGTAATGGATAACTAAGGATAAAAAAATATCTGATAAGTAACAACTTTGATTGAACAATTATTAAAGTATTAAGATTTTCTAACTTCTTTCGTTTTTATAACCGAACATTTCTTGCTTCTCGGTTTGTATTGTTACGGCCGTTCAAGGTCACAGTTGTTAGAAATAGTTTTGAACGAAATACGTATATTAGTATTAATTCAATATTTTTTAAAGTTGTTTGAATTAACTTAAAATACACAACACTTGTATGTAATTTTAATTTTTTGAAAACCATCGTTATCGCGATCTTTTTTACAATAGGATATAAATTGTACTTTTGTTTAAAATAGGACCACGCGACTTTTTATACAAACGGCAAGTAACTGTAAACTATTTGATCGTGATCGAATCTCTTATTGTTTTAATATATACTGATTATTAATAGTTTTAAGATTTTTAAAGAGACAGACAAGGATTAATATTTTTCACGTTTGAAATCACACCTGTATTTCATATATTATTTTTTACAACGAACTGAAGAATACGTAGTTGCTGCTGTACATGTGACGTACAACAGACCGTAAATTTTTTTTCTATACAAAAAGCGGGCCTGCGTGATTTCTGCTTGTTTGATATTAGATATAAGTTTGAAATTACGAAATTTTAGATAATCGTTAATTACAATTGATATTTTTTATTTACGGTGTCGAATTCTACTACAGTGGGCCATCAAGGTGTACAGGTAATACCCAACGGACTTCCTGTGTATACTGTTTGTGTATAGGGATTAGGGCTTCCCACGGTCTGCACGACCGTCAATGCCCTGGGGTGCCACAGAGTAAAATTTAGTCCCTCCCCTTACCTGAGAAAACCGTACGGTTAAAAATCTCGGCCTTTAAGCAATTGTTGCACTACTGCTCTAATGTACTTTGCAATCAATACGTCTTTTTGTTGTTCAGCTGTTCTTGTGAAGATTTTTATTTGCTTAGTTCCCATAAAAGTATAAAACTGTATTGCTACTTCACCTGACCACAGGAACCATGACCTGATTGAACTTAAAGCTACACAATGTCAATTTTCGGCATTATATTTTTATCTTTTTTCTCTAGGAATTAAAATAACATCATGCTTTATTTTTTGCACTTTTTTCACAAGGAACCCTTCGAAAAATTGATTTCTCCTTAATCTAACAATCATTGTTGTCTTTTACCCTTAGCATTAATCTTCAATAGATTATTCCGGTGAAAACAGAGAAAGGTTTAAAGAACACAGAAGACAACAGTCAAATTACAACAAGGAAAGATTATTAAAAAAAAAATGGAGTACTAGTTACTCGATCTTGTGACATGAATAAATTGATTGATTGAATATTGTTTAACGCCAAGTATTCTTCAGCCATATTTCGGCGGGGCATGAATACAGATACATCAAAAAGAGTAGAAAATAGATGCATTTAGTATTTTAACATAAAAAAAATTCAGGAGGTACCTTGAGGAGGGAAAAGGATCTCCAGTTGAGGAGGTTGGAATCGGAACTGTCCTCTTCTTATGTCTGTTTCATTTTCTTTCAGAGTCTTTTCTAAATCCTCATTAGGGAAGAATTTATCAAAGCAGATTCTTACTGCATCAGTTGCAATTTGCAGTAACTTTAGAATCTTGGCAAAATTATCTGAATAAGAAAAGTTAAGCTCCAGTGTTTCATTTATATGGAAAAAAAAATATTTGAAATGAATACAGTTACTGCAAATAACAAATAAAGAAATTATCAACTGCTTTCTAAAACATGTGAAATAAAAAAATGTACAGCAGTGGAAATTTACCATATTACTTTAATAAGGATATGTAACAAGTTTACATTTTGATAAAAATGCATGGAAATAGAGAAATTTATGTTAAGTCAAAAATTACATAAAATTGGACAAAAAAAACCTTCTGAATATGTATAAACTGTCTAGATACCTTTGGTATGTGACTCACTATGTACATTACTTCCCGAAGATAAAACTTCACTGGTTCCCATGGCTTGAGATATTTCTGCTTCATTGTCAAGTTCCTTTAAAATGTTAATATTCAAACTACATCAAAACTTTTTATTTTCAAAATTAATGATTAAGATTTAATGATATAGCCAAAAAGTATTATGAATGCATAAATTCATGTAAGAAATATCTTGCCACGTCATACAAATACAACAGGCAAACTTCGATCAAGAATCACCATCTTGAACAGAAACAGTATATTCTTGTGATATTTTCTTGCTTTTCGGAGAGAACAACCATAATATTCGATTACCTGTCTCCAATACTTGGTGATTTTCTTTGAGTTGATGATGTGCTTTCTCTCTATTGCACAGGAAGAACATTGAAAGGCTGGTTTTGTAAATTCTGATTCGTTGATCACAGAACTTTCTTTGTTATCACAAAATCCTGTATCTTTGCATTTGAAAGCGAGTGCATATTTAGAATCTGCGTGGAATGTTTCAGAAAGAATTTTTAATATGTCGTCAATTTTCCTCTTTACTTGTTGAGATGTTGATTTATCTACTTCTCCTTCTAGTACAAATACTTGTAACTGAATTTCTGTTCGTGTCATTCCAATCAGAATGTTATGGTTCTCATAAAGGAACACAGCCACTGTTTGGTAAATGCAAAGTTCATCACTATTTGAATTCAGCTTCCATGGAATTTGCATGCAACTTGTTATGAGACGCTGAAAAATGCCAGCCGGAAGAACATCAAATACATAACAGAGAATGGAGGAGGCAGGGTATGATGCAAAGCTTTTAGCAGGAAATGGTCTCTTGTTCATACAGGGAACATACCATTTGTTGTCACCTAATTTAGCTAAAAGTCCAAGTCTTCCCATGTAGAGCATGATATCTTCCTTGTGTTCAAGGTACTCCTTATTCTTTAAACTCTTTTTGTTCCATATTGCAGACAACAACGTGTCAGTCAGTTGCCCCGTCTCATTGAATTGGTCCCATTCTGTTGCAAACTCAAATAAGTCCTCCTCTGCATGGTTTTTATCAGTGATGACATTTTTGAATGCATCTGCAAACCACTGAACATCAAGAATAATTATTTCTTTCAGCAATTCTTGATTAAAATACAAAATTTCTCTGAAATCGTGGAAAAAAAGGAGCATGATATTAATATCCTCGATCGTTTCCAATTTTATTTCTTGTGGCAGTGCCTCATTGAAAGCCCGAAGTATCCCTTTCTTTATTATTTTGAGGTATTTCTTCTCTTGGAAGAACTTTTCAAAAATAGCCCATGAGAGCGGGAGCTTTTCAGCCCAGTAATCAAGCTGTTGAACAGTATCAGAAATTGAACGTTTGATTTTCTTAATGCATTTATTGTCATGAAATCCTACTGCAAACATCATTGATTTGTCAAGATGCTTTTGCAATGACTTGTCTTTCATTTCCAAAGTCTTCCATACCTCACGGAAAAAATCTGTTTTCTCCTAAAAAAAAAATAAATGTGTATTTTATCAAGCTAGACACATTAAAACGACTGGTGCTTTTGAAGCACTTACTAGTACATGTATATCCCCCATTGGCCATGCATTTTAGGGCACGCAAAAACCTTTATTTTGGGCAGTATATATTATAGGCAATGTACATTGAAATTGTATTGACCTTTTAATTGGAATAAATAAGGGTCAACTACAGGTACTAAATGTATCTGAGATACAACAACCTAATATTAAATGTATATTTTACTAAAAGTATTTTGAATTATATTCACTATTTTTAATTAACAATGAGCATTCAATTAATTAAAGTGCAAAAGTTTTTTTTTTCGAGTTTATGTGAATTTGATTAATTTCTCAATTTAAGGAAAACACCATTTTATACCTTTTCTGTCTTTTTTTCAGCATGAGTAGCTACAAGTATAACGGGGGCCTTCTCACTGCTGTATTGATGAATGGATTTGGCCCAAAATGTGAGATAATCTTAATAAATTGAAAAAAAAATAATCAACAGAATAATTTATTATTTAGACAGAACAAGAAACAATAAGATAAATATTGGTTTGACATATATTATACATATACATCTAGTTATCTACTGTATTCTGACCATTAAAATGTCAGAATTTTTAACACATATCACCTATTTTCTTAATTTTCACATCTATTTAAGAAGAGAAATCAACTTGGATATATCCCATACTCTTTCAGAGCTGATATGCCATATAATGTAATATTGTCAAACCTCTGTGTGTCCAACCCTGGTAAATGGAGCCTGCCTGACTACACACTTCCTCTCCAACCTTATCATCAAACTTCTTCTCCATATTGAGCACCAGGATAAAGAATGCCCGTGGACTCAGAAAAATCTGGTGTGAGGCATAATAGGCACACTGTCCTGCAAAGTCGACAATGGTGATTCTTTTTTCTGGAACAGCAAAATCGTCTTTTGAAAGTTGTAAAATTCCCAAACCCTTTAAACCTTCTT